TGTGCTTCTGCTCTCTGAAGATGCCGGTCACAGGTGCTGGCGAAACGTTAGGAAACAAAACTTCCAGAAAATGGCCACACAGCCCCGCAGACTCACACCAGCCATCGTATGCCGGGCGTGAAAGCCTTCGACAATACATTGATAATGTATACTTTGTTTTTCTGCTTCCAGGCAGAACTGGAAACAACTCCAGTCTGACACCCTGATCACCTGTTGCCAAACAGTATAGATAATATTGAGCTAGAAAAGCCAATGGGTCAGACTTGATTTAAAACAGTATCCTATGTACCTTATGCATATTAAACCACATTGAGAAAACCATTAAGAAAAAAATAAGATCTTGTATTGTTTCCCAGATAAATTGTTTCCCTGACCCAGAATCTTTTTCCAAGCTTTCCAGAGTCAACAAAAAACTTCCTCAATGTGATACCTCTGACATCTTGAACTGGGGATGCCAGCATATTATGAAAAAAACATGAGCTAGGCCCTTCCAAATCATCCTGTATTACAGGTCACATCCAAATAATTAGTGTAAACCTTGTAGATCTCGTCTAACTGTCATTGCTTACTACTTGTCTAAACAACTCTGCATATAGTACTGCTGCAAATGGTTATGAAGGGGTTCTTTGAATTATTGGAGATTTCTGGAGTACCTTCACACAGAACAACAGTTCTCGGGGTGCCTTGGTTGTTGCAGTCCATGCCTCAGTGCTAAATTTCAGCTGGTTTCATTCTCTAGTATTGAAGACGCATTGCCTAACGCAAGGAGACAGTTGGAGAAATCAAACTGCTGGTCTGGAGTGGTCTACATGGGTCAAGGGCCAGTTCAGTTAAAAAAAAAAAAAATGGCTGAAGCAAGCATGCATATTCCCTCGCTTGCCTCAACTTGATAATCATGGGATATAAGGGCGGCTTTGTCCTATTCTGTGCTCTCATTTCCAGTATTTTAATCTTGAGTCAACCTATTCAACATTCATACTGTGAGGGTCATTTCCTTTCCTCTGTCA